AATTAAGGCGAGAACCTGTCTGCACGAGTCCCAGAAACGGCTATATCTAGTCTAGAACTGTACTAATATTAGAGACTGAAAAAAGTGAAATAAAAGAACTGTGAATTGATAATTCTGGCGAAAATCAACTTGCAGATTTCAACTTTATCTCTTCTTAAAATCTTGGACCAGTTTTTCACGTTAGACCTACAGACGAAGGGCAAGCAGGAAAGTTGGTAATAAGATTTTTTTTAAAAACTAAGATCCGAAAAATAGGAAAGAAAATACAGTAGTGTGAAAGAGAAGATGAGAAAATTTTTGAGAAAATGGAAAAAATGCTTCGATTTTCCGGTTCTGGCTCTCAGCATAGTGCATGCGACTGATCTAAAACCCACCTTCAAAGCGTCAATTCTCGAATATGAGCTCACGTTCAAGTACATGCTGAGAGTATTCAGGGCAACACAACATAACTTGAAAAACCAGACTTCCATACATTCAACAAGTCAAAAAAACATTACGACGAAACACAGCTAAATTTTATGCGTCTTGGTGCATGCATCCACTTTGCATATAATCGCAGAGCAGTACTAACCCATCGATTTTCTGGTTTGTACCGTAAGCACTGAACCATGCGAACGCAGTTCAGCACTGTGTGGGGACTTAGCTAGGGCTTCATATTGCGTTATGCTCGAATGACCTGCAGAAACAGTGCGCTTCTCCCCAACCTTACTTACGTTCCACTGCTTTTACTATTCTAGTTACTTCTGTGCCTACTTGACTAGCTCATTTTTCCGGTTTCCTTATATTTAAACATGTATTCGCCAAGGCCAACCTTGTAATTCGCTGTATGCTCTCATCGCATATCTTGTTCGCACTTTCATCAGGGCTTTGGTTCTTCTTTGAGTGCCCCTTGGCACCTCTGGTAGTTCGTCGGCCAGCATTCGCTGCAGCTGATGCCGTGTCATCCGTTGCATTCACTACTGTTGCACCATCTTCGCTCGGCGTACGCGGTAACGATATTCGAAGTGGTGGAACCTGCATACTACGCTCAGGTAAATATTGCAGGAACAAAAAAAAGTATACAAAGGCACCACTTCTGAAGCAGTTTCTGGTTCAAAAAATAAATTTTTCACACACAGCATTCCTGAACGACACACGCAATGAACATCCATATTCGGCCCATTTATGGTACTTTATTACAGGAAAAAAATAGCGAAGATGTCCAGTGAAATCAAGACCCAAAAAATCTTAGGTTACAAATTCATGTCACAAGCGTTGCACTGACGAGATCCAACTGAACTTCAGCTAATGCCATTTTAATGCAAATGCAAAAAGCCACATTGGTAAGAAGTTATTGGCGCATGTGTGTGTTCGGATTTTTGACACCCACATTCAACTCAGCGAGCGCAGAAACTAGGCATCTGGGATTTCTCGGAAAGTTCTCAGCTTATGCTCCACCCAAACAGCTCAAAAGCAACGTTCACATACAGCTGGGCCTTACGTACGGACACCTGAACAAATTCATGCAAAGTTTTTGGAGCGAAAATGATTTTGGGAACCGGACAAGATGGGAAGCTGAAATCTAGAGAGGGATATTCACCTCCACTGTGTATACTACAGATTTCAAATTCAGCTATCATGAACGCCATGAACGCCTACATCATAAGTATGAATACCCGTTGAAATCAAGATGCCGCTGCCAAAGCATCAATTCGGAAACCACGCTGAGGATAATACTCTGAACTTAAGAAAATATCTTCTGTTCATGCGCAAATCCATAAATATAAAATTAGCTTTCGCGTACACTTGTATCACGTCAGAGCATTTACAGCGAAGAGGCAATTTAAGGAACCAATCCAACTAATATGAATGCACATGCTAAACCTAGAGCACCACACACTATTAACAAATATGATTGTTTTATGAGGCAGTGCAAAAACGCATGGTCGCTCCGGTAACTCACGCGTCGCTATTAATTTCATACTGAGTTTTAACTTTCTACTTATTTCTCGTTTAGCCATTAATATAGTCATACACGTATGCATAT